CCAATGAACGTTTGGGCTAAAGGGTTTTTCTGTCTGGTTCAATTCCTTCATCTGGAAAACAAAGAGAATTCGACCATGATTTGGATGAAGATTTTTATTAGTTGTAGAAAGACCATGCTTTTAGGAAGAATATTATGCCATCAAAGATAACCAAATGTGCACAAAAGAATTAAAAAGAAAAGTTGACAGCACATTTCACCATGCAATAGCGCTCAAAAAGGTGTTGAGATGATGATGAAAATTCAGAGTTTATGTGTTTACTATTCAGTAACAAATAATAAAAGATTTCCTGCTTTCATAACTATTTGCTTTATTCTTTTGGATAAAGTTATATATTCAAAGTTAAAAACTTTGTAGTAACCTCGTGTGAATTACCCCTTGCTTTACTGCTTTTCCAACTTTATTTCTAATGAATGATTATATATGCTTTGATTCGCATGTTTTCACTTTCCTTTTTCCCTTTTTCTCTGTGATTCTAAAAGAATAAATGTCATGAACATATATATTGCACTCAAACGTTGGATGCATGTTCGATTTGATGAGTTTGAAATTTTAGATTGCTGATCACAGCTTTATTTTGTCTATAAAGCTAAAATATAAAAAAGATAATTTACACTTTGTCAAGGACCGTTTTCTTGACCAAATAGAAACGCTTACAGTTCTAACTCCATCTTCAGTAAAAAGGAGGCAAGAAAAAAAAAGTGACAATGATTTTAATTAGAATGAAATGACATTATCTTATTTATTAATAATGTTTTGAATTTATATATCGATAGTATATCAAATATAAATTTTTTTAATAAATAATTTTATAATTTGTTTATAAAGTATTAAATTTTTATTATTAAAAATTAAAATTCATATTGTCAATATGTGGGTTCTTGTGTAAAAAAAAAAAAAAAATCATATTTTGACAGTTTCAAATATAAATGAAATTATAATACATAATTTAATGGATGGATACAGCAAGAGCTGTCCTCGAAAGGGAAGAAATTTGGCTTCCTTATCATTTAGTTACCAACTGTGATGAACATTGGTCAGTTTGTTGATTTAAGAAAGAAAAAAAAGTTTACAAACATCTTGGCCCATGTTCAACATCATCAATCTTTATCAATGAGACTTTAATGTTTAAATATTTTTTTTTTCCCATTGTCCTACTTCTTTTGCTTCTCTTTAGATTAAAAAATGGCAGCACTATCTTATTCGGCTCATTTTTTTGACAATTCAATTTGTCCAGTTCACTGGATTTTGACATTTCTTTTTTTTTTTTCCTCGTTGCAGTTTCTGGTCCAAGATTTGGTTCATGAACACAAGTTCCATGATTGTAGTTCTTTGCATGCTTATACATATAGATGTATCCGTACGTATTAATTTGCCAATCCAAGTGATTGAGGATAAAGCATAAAAAAAACACATAGAAACATAGTAATACCATACACAAATATGTATATATTAATAATAACTATATATATAGCATAATTTATTGAGAATGTATTGTGTGCATATATGATTTTCACATTCATGCATTTAATTAATGTGTATACATACAAACTTATATATGCTTATGTATATCAAAAGTCAGTAATGTGTTATAAACATGTTTTAAATTTTAGTCTTGATTGATACTTTTCTTGTTTATTTTTGGGTAAAACTCCGCTTACAACCTCTATGATTTGGATTTTTCCCACATAGCAGCATGTGCTTTTTTTTTTTTTTCAATAAGCTCCCTATGATTTGGTTCCATTCCCACAAGTGGTTACGCTGTTAAATTTTTTTCTCATAAAAATATAAAAATACTCCTAAATGTGGATAAATGAAGCACTTTTGAATCAAAAGTATTTCGATAATTTTGTCAAATGAAATTACGGCATAACCTCTTGTGAGAACAGAACTTAACCATGGGGTTATTTAGGAAAAAAAAAAACAAGGGTACAATGTGGGAAATGTCTAAACTATAGGGAGTATAAGTGAAATTTACCTTTTATTTTTTTAAATAAACAATAACAAAAAAACAAAGATAAATAGTAAAAGTATTAAATACCAATTAGACAGTGCCTTAATTATAATTAAAAGTCATTTATTTTTACTGTTGTATATGAACAATGGAAAGACTAAGGAAAATGGATATTTTTTACTTTGACAAGTACATATGAATAAGAACAAGATATCATGAATCATAAATAGTAAAAATTACATGATTTTTTTATCATATTGTTCACCTATCTACCACTAGGGGCTCTTAATTTCAACCATTAAGATGATTATGCGCATTGAAATTTATGAAACTTGGAGAGTGTGTCTACATCTTCCATTTTATTATGTTTTCTACTAAGGCACGGCTAAAGGTGAGTAAACCCTAAACTGTGACAATAATTGGTATACATTATTTTCAACATTTATTACTATATTTTTCTTTTGGCACCAAAAAAAAAAAAAAGATGCAACTTGAAAATAAAGGGTTATAGATTTTAAGATTTGATACTTCTTTTTAAGGGTGATTATATAAATTAATTTGATTAATCTTCGGATTATGCTATTATCATTTTCTAGCCTAAATTGTACTAGTCATATTTTATAAAACAAATATTGCAATTTGATTCATACTCCAAATTTCAATTAATTGTAAATTTGATTAATTTATTACTCATTATTCATACAAACTTCCATTAAAGCTTTCATGCATTTAAATTAATCATAGATATATGTATCTCAATGAAAAATGATTGTATAAAACAGTTATGTTATATCAGTATATATTTTTTCATTTAAATCGTTTCACATAATCAATTATTAAAAAAATTAATTATTCATTATTAAATAATTTATTTATTTATTAAAACTAATATTTATCATTTAATTATTATATGTAATATGTAATAAATAATTAATTTTTTCAATGATTTATTTATATGACATGATTTGAATAAAAAAATATATGCTGACATAATATAATTATTTTATATAATATTTTTCATATCTCAATATTCAAAGTTTCAAATAAGTCATTATCTAATTTTGAAAAAAATGTGCACTAATTATTTGAATAAATATAAAATGAGATAATTAATTGAAAAATGTGATATGAGTTAAGAGTTCTCATAATTGAATTGTCATATGAGTTAAGGTCAATTAAATATTTTAATTTTAATATAAAATAAGTAGATAAATATCATTTTAATGAGTTAGCTTTGTTATTTTTTTTTTTTTTTACAATTTTACTTAAAAAAAAATCATACGTTCCTATCATAGCAATTAATTAGGGCATTGATTAACCGCAGTTGACTTATTTAAAATCTTCTACAAGTAAAATGCATTTAGTTCTTGGAAAATACCAAAACACCATTAAACAAATTTCATTTAATAGGGCATAATAGTAATTTACATACAGATGGGTAGACTCTCAAGCCAAAAACACATTATCTTATCTTGTCGTGGGAGTGAAATTATTCCCCAATTAATAAATCCTTTTAATGAAAATGTTAAATTAAAAGTACATGATTACCCCAGCGTCATTAAAGAAGCACACAGAGACGGATCTGATGGTGAGGTCAACGGCAGCGGGACCCACGTTTCAGTCCCACGCGCCTGTCAGTTACCGACCTTCGCGGTGTTCTCACGGCCCAAGATAGCGGCCCACGATGAGCGTCTTGGCGGTCAAAGGCAGCAGCACCTTGGAGTCCGTGTAGGACTTTCGGGGAGAGAGAGAGAACGGGCACGCGTGGATACATTGGATTGGTCGAGTCTAACAACGGCTATATGGTATGCTCCCCTCGTCTCGAGCACCGGTATGGGCCCCACTTTTGAGGCGGACATTTTGATGAGAAGAAGAAAACACTTCAAAGCAAAGTAAAAAAACAAGGAAATAGTGGTAGTGGCAGCTTAGTTTGCTTTTCACCCTTCGGTTACTCTTTCTCTTTTTTTTTTTTTTAATTTTATTTTTTAAATGACTAAGAGCTCATTTGAATTGCATAATATATGTTGTTTTATTTATTAAATTTTAAAACTTTAATCATAAAATATAATTACGATATCATAAAAAATCTTCTTTTTAGGCAAGAAAAAATAATTTAATTTTAATTTTGCTCTTTCCACTGAATTTATTTATTTTTTACTAAACTTTTTAACAATCACTTTGAGTCATTGACCTAAATTTGGCTTAAAAGCGCTGTTTCATTGAAAAGGTTAAGAAATGCAAATTGGGTTTATCTTAACAAAGCAAAAATCTGCCAAAGAGATTTGATTTTTTTGCATAATTGTATGCATTCCTCCATATATGTAAAAAGTAAAAGGAGTGGTACTTTTTTTTTTAATGGGATTCTGTTCTATATTGTAATAATTAAGCTATCAAAATCTACTTGAATTCAAAAAGGTTATGATTAAGGCCATTTTAGAAAGGAGTAAAATGTTTCATGCATTTAACTATGTGTCATTTTCTTTTTTTTTTTTTGGTGTGTGTTTGCCTTACAGTAATAATTTTTTTATCCATCCAAATGGTAAAAATAATGAGTAATAATAAAAATATTTTACCACAAAAATTTTAATAATAATTGTATGAGTTATGCTTTTATAATAATAATAATATTATTATTATTATTTTATATATTTTTTTAAAAAATATTTAATAAATTTATTATTTAAATTTTAATATTTATAATTTTTTTATTTACATATTACAATATTTTTCGTAGAAAAATATAAATTAATAGTTCTTCTAGCTTAAAATAAAAAATGTGTTAACATTTAAAATCTTCAAATGTCATCTAATTTATTGATCAAAACAAAGTAGTTGGCTCACTTGTCTTCATTTTCATTGGGAAAAAGAAAGTCGAACTAGCAAAATTAAAAAAAAATAAAAATGATGTATGACTGTTATAGCACTCTTAAAATGAAAAAATGGTGGAATCCACAGTTTCATCCATTATTTCCATACCATAAAACAACTTGTAGGATGTCAATTGCCACTTAATTCTAAATGATATTCTTTTTTGAATGATGCAAGTCATTTAAGTTAATAATAGACAAAATCTATCACAAAAATTCATCATATGGTTTAACATTCATTATCCATAATTAGGACAAAAAAAATTACAACAACCTGATGTAAATAGTAAAAAAAAAAAAAGGAAAGTAAGTCTCAAGTCAGAAGTCCCCCAACACTTGACCAGCTTCTCAACAACTCTGCAACTTACGGTAAAAGACAAAGGAAGAAACCTGAATGGGCAAATCTGGTTCTGGAAGGAGTAAAAATTGGAGCTGAAAAGGTAGTAATAAAAAATAGTATTTAATTAAAAAAAAAAATAGAGGAAGGCACTAAGTAAAGGTGGAAATCGCAGAAGAAAAAGAATAAACCACGGTCTTTGCTTGGGACCCATCTTCAAATCTGTGACAGAGATGGCAGTTTCATTTCCTCGGCTCTTATTCTGCTGGCTGCTCAAAACACCATCTCCTTTAATTTATTTAAATCTCTCATTTTTCTTCTCTTTCTATTGAATTTTGTTGTTGTTTTTCTCTCTCTAGAATTTCTTTTATTTTTTATGAATATATTAATAATATTAATTGTAGTATAATAGTTGGTAGAAAGGGAAGAAAGATGGGAGATTTGTTTTGTTATGGCCCTTTGTGAACTCTGCCAAAGGGAAAAACAAAGTCTTCTCTTTCACACCTTTCAATCTAAAAAAAAAACATGGGAAGAAGAATCTAGGGTTGGACAACACCAAATTCAACAAGGTCTGGGTTTTTTTTTTTTTTTTGGTATTTCTCCCTTGTTTTCTCCTAATAGAGAGCTGTTTTTGTTTTGATTTTGTCTGGTTTCTCCGTTCTTTTTTTAGTCAGTTTTTACGGGCCCTGTTGAATCTGATCTTCTTAGCCTACTCTGTATTGGAAAAGAAAAAAATTGGTCTTTGAAACTAAATTTGGTTTAAATTCTGTTGAAAAAGTTTGGTGATCTGAAAATTGAATTTTGAGTGATGGACTTTTTGTTTTTGTTTAAAGATTGAATGATTTAGTAAACTTGGCTGTTTTATATAGTATGTTTTGGTTTAGCTAACTTGAGTTTGGGGAATTAGGTTTTTTTGGTTTGGGTAATATGGAGGAGATTGAACAAGCTAACAAAGCAGCAGTAGAGAGCTGCCATAGAGTTTTGAGTATTTTGTCTTTGCCTCAAGATCAGGTTCATTATAGAAATTTAATGGCTGAAACTGGGGAGGCTGTTTTTAGGTTCAAAAGCGTAGTTTCTCTTTTAAACTCTAGTTTGGGACATGCAAGAGTTAGGAAGCTAAGGAAATTACAAACCCCTTTTCCTCATAGCATCCTTTTGGATAATCCACACCATAATGCAACAGATTATCCATTCAAGAATTTGCAGCTTGGTTACCATGAAAGCTCAGTTCACGAATTGAGCTCACATGCTAAGAATTCTCTCTATTTAGGAAACCCATCTTTAGAATTGAGTTCAAATGAGAAAAACCCTCTTCAACAGGTGCCATCCGCACGCTATCATTTCCTCCAACAACAACAACAACAACAACTGCAGCAAAGGTTGCAGCTCCAGCAGCAGCAGCAACAGCAACAGCAACAGCAACAAGAGCATTTGAAACATCAACCTAAAATGATGTTTAGGAAGAATAATAGTGGCATTAACTTGAATTTTGATAGCTCTAGCTGCACACCTACCATGTCATCAACTAGGTCTTTTATTTCTTCGTTGAGTATAGACGGTAGTGTAGCTAACTTGGATGGTGGGAGTGCCTTCCATTTAATTGGGGCGCCTCGTTCCTCAGAGCAGGGTTCCCAACAGAAGAAGAAGTGTTATGGTAGGGGAGAAGATGGGAGTGTCAAATGTGGAAGTAGTAGTAGATGTCACTGCTCCAAAAAGAGGTTGGATTTCTTTTTCCCCCTTTATTTTCTTTATAGAATTGTACACTTGATATTAGTTCTCATAATTGGTTTTTTGAGAAGTTATTTAATCTTTTTTTTTTTCCTTTAATTGGTTGCAATCTGTTGATAGGAAACATAGAGTCAAGAGATTAATCAAGGTGCCTGCTATCAGTAACAAGCTTGCTGATATTCCTCCTGATGATTATTCATGGAGGAAATATGGGCAGAAGCCAATCAAGGGTTCTCCTCACCCTAGGTAATGATTATCATCCTTTATATGTACTATATTGAGATTTGATATATTGTATGTGAATCTTGGTGTTGCCCTGCTCAGTTAGTCAGTTTTGCTTGTTAAATCACAAATTTAAGTCCATACAGATACAGGAACTTTTAGATTGAAACAGAAGTAATGAAACTCGTCAACTCAATTATCTTAGTGTTTAATTTGGTGATTAATGCTGGCTATAGATGCATTTACTTCTTTAATCTTTAGTGTTTAATTTGGTGATTAATGATGGTTTGAGTTCTTGTTGCACCTTTAAAGTGTTTAAAAGAAGCTTGTTGATTTGATGTGCATTTAGTGGAATTTGGCTAAATTTATCGACTTAGGAGGTCTTTTCTTTTTAACTGGTGCAGGGGATATTATAAATGCAGTAGTATGAGAGGTTGCCCGGCAAGGAAGCATGTGGAGAGGTGCTTGGAAGAGCCATCCATGCTTACTGTTACCTATGAAGGTGAGCATAACCACTCAAGGTTAGCATCACAATCAACAACAACATAGTCTCACTGGAAACTCTGCTAAGATTGCGTCAAGCCTGTCAATGGTCACTCTGTTACCAATTTAAGGGTTTGTTTGACTTGCTCCTGTACATATTTTGCATGGTTCAAGCATGGGATATATTGGAGCTATTTCTTTTACTTTCTCTTTTTTTGGGGGCTTCGGAAGGTTGGCTTTCCATGCCTTTTTAACTATTTGGCAGCTGGCATTAAGCCTGGTGCTGGACCAAAAGAAATTTTATAATTGGAGTTTGTAAGAAATGTTTCATCTATCATGGCAATTAATGCTTGGAAGGGTTTGAACTTTTTGAATTGAATGAAATGCCATCAATGCTGTTCAAGGTGTTGCTATTGGTGTTTCGTTTGGACTTCTTATGAACTAACAAGGGTTGCGACTTGTGGGGCTGCATTTCTCGTTTGTAACACGCCTAAAATTGGAGTTTATTCGACAGGAAGCTGCTGCCTATTGATAAACTGGGGCGTATCTACACGTGAATATGTTTGGAATCTTAACTAAATTTGTCGTCCAACTATCAAGTTTTTGTTTTAATTTTAAAGTTTATTTTTCATTTCTCGGGTTTTTTTTTTTTTTAAATCTTCTGCGAACCTTCAAGGCTTCAAAAGGATTTGCATATTTGGACGTACAGCTTGAATGACATGTCCAAGTTGTACGAAACTGGTTCAGTTTAAAGATGGGAATGAGTTAGAAACCAATAATGTTTACATAGAATGGTTTCTGAGTTTGTTGAGCCATTCTCTTTCCATTTCTTGTTTGTTTCCTGTACCGGAGGAATTATTGAAGTCAAATTCTAGTGAGCCTGTCAACAAGGCACGTGAGTTACGCAGACTAACCAACATGGGCAACATGCTTCGACAATTGCAATGGCACTTCCTTTTCCACTGGCATAAACATAGGCTGGAAGTTTCCCTGACCTTTGTCCTAAACTGGTTTGAAGTAGAAGCTGTGGTCGATACCAAACGGTAGATTTTTCGTTGATTTAACTAAATATCTTCTAAGATATGGGATTCAATTGCATACTTTCTAAGAATGGTGCCAGGGATTTTGCATCGAAATTCCATTCTCCTCTCTGTGGTGGAGGGAAGGGTGATCTGAAATTCTCTATCTCTTGCTTTTCAAAGGAATGATGGAGTCAAAAGTTCGTCATTCTAGTTAGTTTTATCCTCGAACTTAAGGATGAATTTGGTTAAAGACTTGGGTAATAAGTAAGGTGGCTTAAAAGGTGAATGGGTTTGGGACTAGCTAACAATTTGTTAGTTGGGAAGTGGGATCTCCAATTACAAGAGTCAATATGGTAACTACATCATGACAAAAGGAATGCGAAACTATACAGATTGGTTTGGGGCAAGTAGCCTATCCTAGTCTTATTTGGGTAAAAGTTATAAAGATTGACATAACATTTAACATTTTCAAACTGTAATGAATATGTAATTGTTAGGGCACCTGAAAATTCTCAATTTTCTTATATAATAATAATAATAATAATAATAATAATAATAATACATTGTCGATGAACGATTAGGATTGATAGTTACTCACTTTCACTGCACAAATGAAGAGTTAAAATTTAAACTGGAACTCACTATTTCTTTTGGAGATTCAAACCTAACTCTCTGAGTAAGGTGATTAATTTCTTTTTTACCTTTTGTAAAAATATAGTGAATTAATATAAGGTGGTTTTTATTTCACTTTGTCACATGTCAGATGTACCAAATAATGACATTTTCTTCATACTCTTTCAGCAAATGAGATTTTATTTATGTTGCTGAGTCATGACTTAATAAAAAAAATATATATATATATATACACATATATAAAGGAAAAAACAAGGGATGTGGCTATTACATGTCATGTGTGGTTTATAGCGCGCAGATACCTGTGAACGAATGAGTGCATTCAATTCAACGACAATTTGTCATTTAGGTGGGAAAAAGAAGCTCAGTTAGTTGATGTTTGGGCCCAAAAGTTTACAGCCTAAGGGAGTACGATCCAGTATTACCTATTAGTTATTAGCCCATCACCAACTTACTGGTCTGTCTTGATTTTGATAATCCCTACAATTTTAAAGAAAATACCTTTTTGGAAAGTTTGAGTTCCATTTTTGGGTTACTTTTGTTATTTATACTTCTAAAATAAAAGAACAAACATTGATTTTGAACTATTTTCACAATATTATTACATTTGAAAATTTTCTTCATAATTTTAGTACATTTTATTTTGGACTCAAAAATTAATATCAATTATCATTATTGAATTTTTTTCTAAAATTTTACATAATTTGGGCAAATATTTTTTATTTATTTACAAAATTTTATTACATTTTTTAAAATTTAAAAATTATTATTTTTAACTAATTAATATCTATCCTAACTTAAAATTTAAATAAATAACAAATTTAAAAAATACATAAATATTAAATAAATAAAATAAAATAAAACAAACAAATAAAGTAAAATAATTAATAACAAAATGATACATAAAGATATAATGGTAATTTGATAATATTGGATAAATGTCACGTTGGGAATCTTTAAGGGATTCTTTTTAATCTACTGTAGTGTATATATATAATATTTAATAAATAATTTTATTTATAGTTTTATCTCTAATATTTTTTTCAATATTTTATTCTTTAAAAAAACATTTATTTCCGCTCTTTCCTTTTCTTCCTTCCATTTTCGAACTTTCCTACCATTGTATTGTAGAAGTAGCGCACGTTTCCAAAGAACTAAAACACATCCGTATCTTCATGATGTTTTTATGTCATCTTATTCATGCTTATTGGACTAATATTCAATATTTGTATTTTCCTAAGAAGGGGAAATAGGAAAGAAAGGCAAAGCTTAAATAAGTCTTGTTCTAACTGAGTACTTATTGTAAGCAAAGCAGCTGCACTAAACACAGATCAAAATTCAATAACAAAATAACATTCCCAAAAAGCCATGAATGAAAGACGCATGCAGAATCTTCACTTGAGAGGAATAAACCTGGATGAATGGGTGGCACCAATACCAGGCCTTCCGTGCTTGACAGGCTTGTAGGAGATTGAGAATTCAGCCAAATAATGACTTATCATTTCAGGCTTGATTTCCACTTGATTGAAGGTCTTTCCATTGTAAACACCAATTATACTACCGATCATTTCAGGAACTATAATCATGTTGCGGAGGTGCGTCCTAACAGGCTCAGGTTTCTCACCAGGTAGAGCCTCCCGTTTCTATTTCAAGACAGCAGAATCACATTCTCAGTATATGCTGCTATCTACATTTACATTGGTCATCATCACCAAGGAATAAAATAGTTCAAGTGAAATTTATCATAAATCAAAGAAATCAGTAAAATATCCAAATGAATAATTAGTGCTATCTATTACACTGGCAACATACACAACTGCAACTAAGATATAAATGATATATTAGTACCCATAAGCTATTCGAATTCCACTCGAATAACACTTGAATTTGACTCAATTATTATAAAGTCGAGTTCGAGTAACTCAACTTATCAATTAAATTAAGTTCAAACATTCTTATACCCGACTCAAGTAGCTCACAAAAATAATCAAATTTTTATATTTTAATATATTTTAATTATTTTAATTAATAAAATATTTCGAACTCGAGTTCAAGTACAAATAATCGAACTTTTGTCAAATATAAGAATTAATTTATTTTTACATGTTAATTGAGCCTAATTAAGTAAACTCGAATAGCCCGATTTCTATTTCGAATCGAGCTTGAGTTAAAAAAAAAAACTCAATCAAGTACGAACAGAATTTCAAATATTGAATTTTGAATCGAACTCGAACTTAATACTGTATCGGCTTAAACTCAATCAATTACACTCCTAACTGCAGCCACAAATCTCATTCTACAAAGTTCTGCAGATGATGCAGCACAATAACTAAAGAAGGGCAAAGAAAAGAAGATAATCATGAAATTATTTTTTAAAGTAAGCCATGGTATCAAAAAATTGCAATCAGGAAGTTCTGCTACAATTACAACGGTAAAGAAAAATCTGAAACTAGAAGATTTCTACACAGAAGATGGTTCAGAATTGACATGTAGGACAGGAAAAAAATTGTTACACAACCAGATCAGCCCAATTCCTACCACAACAATTGATTAATTTACTTAATGCATCACGTCATCAAACTTTTCAGACTCACTAAAACGTTGTAATACTGTTTACCAACACTGCCCTCAATATCTCATTTTAGGTATCAAGTACCGACTTTATACTAACTTTTAGCTAACAAAGAAAAGGAGAAAAAAAAAAAAGAATTCTGACCCCTTCACCGATTTGATAATTAGCTCATAGCAATTTGTGGAAAGACAAAGTTTACACCAATGTATAGAGATTGTGATGCTTCATTCTACACTCTCTGCTAAGTATGAAAATGTCATCATTGTGGAGCTAACTTTACACTTCATCAACAAAAGATTGACTGAAACCCAAAAAGACTAATGGTATCATCTTAAAAGTAACAGGCTAGCTGTTGTGTTTATTGATTTCTTTTATAAAAGCACTAAATAGTTCCCAACAACTAAATTAGTCCCATGTTTTCCTTTCCTGTTTCCACCAACAATTAATTCAAAGCTATTCTACAACCCAAGGTTATTCATTCCTTTGCCTAGGCAAAATAATAGAAGGAGATTTGCAAGAACCATGCCAATCTCACGATTATGGTCAAAATCATCCATTCAATAAATGAAATGATGAAACCATCTTAACAGTCTATCAGTATCATATCAACCATCTATACATAACTTCAGTAAACAAGGGAACATGCAAAAATATTACACTTAGAATATGACATCATCAGTTTCCCAACCCACTGCTACCAAAACAGAAAACTCTATTATGCACGCAAATCAGGAGAACCAACCTAGAGGGGAAAAGCAATTGTATTGTTGAACTACACGGTAATATGTAACCGAATGGAGTTAAGTACAGAAAACCAGTTTCCAAGATGAACAATTTATACAAAGTGAAGCTCAAAAGCTTCTACGACCACCGGCTACCTGTATCTACTAATCATTCTAAAACCATAGACGATCACCCGTACCATCTAGCTATATCTAGTCAATCATATAAAAGCACATATAAAACCAACTACAACACTATATTACAGAAAAAATTTAGGAGAAAGTAATCCAAAATCCTAGACATGAAATGCAAATCCACGTAGTAAAAACACAAAAAAAGAAACAAGAAAATAAAAACTATGAATCAATCAATTCTTCCTGTAGGCAAAAAGATGAGAAATAAAACACTCACAGCCTTGCGCAATTTCTTGATCAGAGCCATTGGCTTCCTCTTCAAGCCTCTCTGAAACCTAAACATGAATAAACAAAACTATCTTATTTTACAGATTAAAGGTCGTAAAAACAAGCTTAAAAAAGAAAAAAAAATCAACTAAGGTTAATAACGAGATGTAACCTTCGGCGGGCACGAGCAGGAAAGAGCTTGACGAGCTCATCAGTGGACATATCCAAGAGAGCATCGAGATCGACACCTCTGAAACTGAACTTCTTGAATGTTCTCTTCTTCGGTATCCCTGAAGCGGCAACATCGGCTTCCACAGCCGCTAAAAAAAAAAAAAAAACAAAACACATAAAAAGCGACATTGTTAAGACAGTGTTTGGATCCCGAGTAAACTGAAGGAAACGATCTGGAAAATGAAGCAAGTTAAAAGTAAAGAGAAATAAGTGGAGTGAGAGACGATGGTGAGACCATGGCTAGAGTTGAAGCAGCAAACAGCACAAAAAATCCTAAGCCGCGGGAGAGAGAGTCTGCGGTTTCTAGGGTTGGCGGATTGCTGTGTGAGAATTTATAGGGTAACCGAAATGGAAAACGGGTGTTTTATTTGAGTTACCCGGATTGGATCCGAATTTATTTGGCCGACAAAATGAAATTTTGAAATCATCTGTTTTACACTTTTACCCTTCATCCTGCCGGTACTTTTTCTTAAGAAAAAATTTTTTTCTTAAAAAGATTATAAACGAAATAGGCTTCTATATAGGGAAATTTTAAAGTTAAATTTTACAATTGATCCCTTCACTTTCACAAATTTGTAGATTTAATCTCTACTTTTTTTACCAGAATCTCTATACATTAATTAGATCAAATTAACCTTTTGAATTAAATTTAAAATTTAATTTAGTTAGTTTATACAATTATTTTTAAAAAATAATTTCTAACAAATTTAAAATTTCAATTTCAATATTTATAATTTTTTTTATTTTCAAGTTGTGGTTATTTTTATAATATATATATATATGTATGAACTTTTATGAATTATTAAATATGATCACAATTTAATCATAATTTCATAAAAATAAAGGATCAATTATACAATTTAACCAAAATTTAAAAGAAAATAAGTTAAGTAAATTCTTTGTGCTACAACCAAGCAACAATTTGATTCATTTCATTATTATGGGTAATTCATATCATTTGTAGTCCAAGAAAATCACGTATAAATTAAATACAATTCCTAACTTCATACTTAACCATTATTGATTAAATATTTCATGGTAGACTTTCTTTTGTTTTGGGTTGATCACAAATTGAAATTTTGAATTTTATTTTAGGGGACAAATCAACTTATCTTAACGTAAAATATTTTAATTTTACATAAAATTTTAATTATTAATTTTAATAAATTTAAAATATGAGAATAAATTATTATTTTTTAATTTGTTTCTCTCATTCTTGAATTTATTAAAATTAATGGTTAAAAAATAAATATTTTATTTTATGTTATTTATAATATATGTGTGTATATTTTATAGACATTTATATATTATACAAAACCGTTAATCTCTCCCCTTTATTTTATATAATATATATATATATATATACATTAATGTGATTCCTAAACACCAAGCCCAGTTGTCACTTTGTTTGATGGCAAGGTTAAAAATGAGAAAAAATGAAAAAAAAATGTTAATTTAATTATTAAGTTATAAAATACAAAAATTATGAATCTAACAGTTGGATTAACAATTTTTCATTTTCAGCTTTTCCCATTATTCTTACCAAACAAGCATTAAAGAGCCAATAGTTTGCTGCTTTTGATTTTCAATTTACATTTATAATTTGTACTATGCGTCCAACTTGAACATTATTTTCTAACTAATTGATTGAGGTAATTTTTTTTTTTTTATGCAAGAAGAAAAGAATTCAAACCTAATTGTTCAAAGAAAAATATATGCATTTTTTATTAAATCAAATACCCCGAATATTAATTAAAATATTTGTATACTGTTATCTACAATATAAAAAAGTGGCAGAACAAACTTGCATCAATATTTTGATTTTTATCATTTTTAAAGAATTATTATTAATTCTTAGGGCTGTAAACAAACTTAAGACATAGTTTATAAGGTTTAGCTTAAAATGCTTACGTCTACGAGAAAGCAAAAGAAAAAAATTTGATATGAATAAATAAATAAATATTACAACCACTGATGTAATTTCAATTTAACCACATTACTTTACTTTGTTAACTCAGGATGTGGTTACAAAGCAAATAATTTTTGTATAGATATTAACAAAGGAAATTAGTTCTAAATTCTCGCAAAATTTTTAATTAGTCGATGATTATATATGTATTCACAATTTCACATATAAATCGTAAGGTGTTTTGTATTCGATCTTAGTTTGCATTAAGAATGGATTGGTAACTTATTTTCCTAAAAGAAGTTGTGAAGCCAATAAGAACTGAATTTTGTTGTGCGCTAGCAATGAAGTATATATAATCGTGAATTAATTTTGTTGAATGATTCGTTGAATAAAGATAAACTATTATGACTTGCACTTTGTAAGTTTATATCGATTGGTCAAGGATATAGTTGTAACAAGAGTGAATAGCATAAAAGTCGAACCTGACCTTAGTAATAGACTAAGGGGTGTTTTTTTTTTAAAAAAAAAAAAATTAGGCATATACTCCACTTGTTTGTAGATTAATACAAATTTTATTATATTTATCTTGATTTTTATGTAATACTAAGTACTTATATATTCGTCTAAGGCTTTGCTTTATAAAAATAATTAAAATGATAGTAATGAAAAAATTGACAATTTGATGATTAGATTTCACAACCATTTTTCTATTTTATAACTTAATTATTATATTAATAAATTTTAAATTATAACCATCTTCTATCATTCATGCTAAGTAAGGCTTAAAGGTATGAAGAATTGAAATTCTACAAGTTATCAATTCAACAGCTAGTAGTTAAACTTAAAGATGTCTATAGTATTTATATTTGAAAGCTTTCATTTTACTTTGAATTCTCATCAACTCCTTAATTGGTAAGACAAAAGATATTATAGATATACTTATATAGTAAGTACAAATAACAAAAAAAATTATTGAAATTCACACATGGGAACACCAATCAAGGCATTGAAGATGTTTAGTTATCATGTTCTTAATCTTAAATGATTCTTTCCAATTCTCTAAGGTTACAACTCTTTGTATGAAAAAAAAAAAAGTTTAACATTGAATATTCTAATCCATATAACAAGGAATTGGATTTAAGGTTACAATTCTTTGTATGAAAAAAAAAAGTTTAACATTGAATATTCTAATCCATATAACAAGAAATTGGATGGTAACTTGATGGTTCTATTGCTTTATAGACTATACTCATTTGGTGTGGTTACATCTCCTAGGACAATGACAATGAGAAGTATACATAAATTAAAGTTTCATATATATATTGCTCTAAACCAACATTCTCTTTTGTTTGCAACAACAATTTGTGTTTCTTTTTAGTTGATTAAGTTAATGGAAGACTTATATTTAAGTTTTGTAGTGTTTTATTGCATAGAAATGAGGAAAAAAGTTATCAAATCATATCTATAAGTGCATGTATCTTGTCATATAACATCAAAATTAAAATTACTTTTACCAATAATGTAGGTTTTACATTAAAGCTTTTAATTTACTTTTTACATTGTTGTTGCATATTTGCATCCCATGTTCTAGATAGCAAATAAAAGGATTAAGAGTCATATGTAAACTAGTTGGGATAGATGTAATGCATAATAAAACCTTATTTAGGTCATTTTGATGAGATATGATGCCATGGTATAATCAAAGAATGAACAATATAATAAGTCAACAATATATCATTCTATCATGCATTTTAGCTTGATAATTTTGTGTATATGTGGTTGATAGTCATGAAATGAGAAGATTTGGTAGACATTAGATTCAGTAAAAATGAAGGTTTGATGTAAGGAAAACAATGTTAGACTACATTAGTGGAATATACAAGTAAAGCATATGTTCAAAAGTTAAATAAACATGCTTTAAATTGTTGTGAATGTGTAATTTCAATAAAAATTATCACATTCACAAACAATAGAGTTTTTAAATTTCACAAATAAATTTAATATAGTAACACATTTTTTTTGATATAGTCAAAAATTAAAGAAATAATTAAAAAAGTATAACATATAACAACTTCTTAATTTCATTGGTAAAGTTAAAAAATTACATTGTCAGTATGTAAAAATTGAACTCGAAATTTTTAGTTGTTTTATGTTCATGATTAACATATGTAATACTAACATTAAGCATAACAAAACAAGTTTTTTTGTTCCTCTTTCAATTTTATTTGCCATTAATTAGATAAAATATGTGTTGTAGGTTGTAACACATATCAAACATATCAATAGGACATGTTCAACTTCAACATCATTTCAGGCAATAGTTTTCCATTAAATTCTCAACCGATTTTCCCAATTATTGAAGCATTAGATTGCTTTGTTAATCTATTATCAAGTGAGATGCAAAAATTTGGGATTCATGCTTAGCATTCTCCTAAAATCATCAGGAACTACAATAACATCATGATAAACCCTAGTTTTGACCAACTTAGCTTCAAAATCAAATTCCTCACAAAATAATAGCCCAAAAAATATGTAAAAATATTCATTAGAAAGCTTAGATAATAAAATACATAATGAAAAAAACTTCACAAAATTTCATCAACTATAGCTCAAGTTATGCTCAAATCAATCGAGACCAAAAGCACACCAAAACTACCCAAAACATCAATTCTTCCCCACTTCCCATACGTTCCATTCCACCCCCTCATATCTTCAACCGTAGATAACACCTTATCGAACGGTTCACATTTAAATTTACGAAACAGACCGATCCGCGTGCTAGTTGTCTCGACCAATCAAATTTCATCTTATGGATACCGTCTCTCTCATTCTTGACTATTTAAATCCCTTCAATTCGGACACCTATCTCACCCAACGAAATTATCAGTACATTTCCACAGTGAAATTAGATCCGAAAGATCTATCTTCCTTCATCTTATCTTAAGATTTCCCAATTTCTGTAGAAACCCTAGCCTGAATCCTATATTCCCCCAAATTCTCCCCTCCCTTCGTTGACTAGCAAATGGCTACCGAGGAACCAACCGTAGCGGTTGACTACACACCCGAACCGGCGGAAGACAAGCCCGAGGAGACCAAAGCCGGAACGAAATCTGGCAGAGCAAAGAAAGCTAAAGAACCCAAAGCCAAGAAAGCAGCAGCTCCTAAGAAACCACGAGCTTCTCCTTCGCATCCTCCTTACGAAGAGGTATTTCATGATTCAAAATATTTGTTAATGTATTTTCTTTTGGAATTTTAGGTCTGATTACGTGTTAATATCTGATTGGTGTGTTATAGATGATCAAAGATGCAATCGTTACTATGAAGGAGAAGACAGGTTCAAGTCAGTACGCTATTACTAAATTCATCGAAGAGAAACAAAAGCAGCTTCCTGGAACTTTTAAGAAGCTTCTGCTTTTCCATTTGAAGAAGCTTGTGGCTGCTGGGAAGTTGGTGAAGGTTAAAAATTCGTTTAAACTTCCGTCGGCTAGGTCTTCGAAGCCGTCTACAACTGCTTCTGCTCCGGCCAAGAAGAAGCCGGCTGCTACAAAGTCAAAGTCTAAACCTGCTTCAAAATCCAAGGAAGGGAAGACTACAAAAGCGGCTTCTAAAGCTCCTGCAAAGACCAAATCTGCTTCTAAGACAAAGACTAAAGCGGCGGCTAAACCAAAGCCTGCTTCTAAGGCTAAGTCTACTAAAACAAAGACAAAGGCGGTGGCTACTCTCAAGCCAAAGACTACTGCAGCTGCCAAGTCAAAAGCTGTAGCCAAGCCTAAGCCCAAGCCTAAGGAGAAGCCGGCTAAGGCTGCCAGGACTTCAACACGGACGACCCCTGGGAAGAAGGCGGCTGCGCCTAAGCCAGCTCCGAAGAAAGCTCCTGCGCCTAAGAAAGCTCCGGCGAAGAGCGTAAAGCCGAAGAGCGTCAAGTCACCGGCGAAGAAAGCCACGTCGAAGAGAGGAAAGAAATGAGAAATAAAGGAGAGGAGAGAGGCTAGTCAATGTAGGGGTAGTTTTGTAAATTCGAGTGAAGTTTAGTGGGTGTATTTCGATCCGTATATATACCCATGAAAATATGACATCGGATCTTAATCTTTCTTTTTTAAACTCTTCTTTGAGTTTTCTATATGTTTTTTGAAGTTAAATTCCTAATTTCATTAGGGATTGTTAAAACAGCTTTTAGATGTAATTTTCAGTTTTCTGGATTATGAGATGAATTTTTTCTGCGTACTGCAAGTTTCGACCATCTATTATTCACCAATAAGATTGCTGCAAATTCAAAAATTAGGGATTAGATTTTAGGGTTGCGTTGCTTACTTTCAAAGAAAGTCGTGGCGTCTGAAAGAGGTTCAACTTCTTTGCGACAACACTGATTTCAAAACAGGGAAAACGAAGGTAGTGTAGGTGCCCCAGTAGCCAGAGTTAAGCGTCAAGTTGAAATTAATAAAATTGTGTTGAAAACTCATGTCTGGTTTAAGCTGGGAAGTGTTGAGTTTACCTGCATTGTAAGCAATTTAGCAGGTGCATTTATTGGGAATGAATTGCTACATTTTTATGTCGGTGTTGGTGTCTAACCTAAGAACTTCTCCTAATTTGGTGGACAATTAGCACATTGAATTATGCTCGGTCGTGTAGTGCATAAGACTTGAATGCTTATTAACGTGGTTGGTTCTAGATTTGAAGTTCTTTTTTCCATTTTGGTAGTTGAGTTTTACTTGGATCTTACATGCTTTTTTGTTTACTTTTCTTTTTGTTTTTCATGGATTGAAAAACTAGTTATTTGTCCCTTTAAATACCTTTAGCTTCGAGTCGAGGATAAGAGATAGCGCAAAACGAATGAATAGACTCATAATTTGCAGTTGAAAATATGGTGCTGCATAGAATTGAATGTTATTGGCCCAAAAAGGGAAAGAGTTCTCTTCGTTTCATTTTTACATTGGTTTGTCTGAGCAGAATTAGTGAATTACTCTGCCAAAAATAATGAAGAGCAGGGATAGGGATTCTTGAATATGTGAAATACTTGTACTTCTAACTGTTATATGAATAATACCGGCTCTCATAAAATTTAGAGAGTGATCCTAGCTAGATTATGGCAATCGCAATCCGGAATACCATTATTCATGTTTATGGATAGGATGAGACCTACTAATAGCTTCGACTTTTTCTAAAACAACTAAGTCATATATTGATAAACACTTGATAAACATTTCACATTTGATGTCAGTGATTGACAAAGATTTAAATTTAAATAAGGAAAATAATGGGATGTTGTCTAAGTTTGCTGATAGTGATCTGCATTACACAATGATGCAATGTGCTCAAGTATCAATATGTTGTTCTGTGGTTGCAGGGTTAGTATTGAAGCAATGTTGGTTGCTCTGATGAAAATTCATTAAATGTTGGGTAATTTCGGGAATGAACATGAGGAGATGTTAAATATTGTCAGTTATTTGAATATGAAGTTAGTTCTCCAAGAATTTTGAAGTCTGCGAATCTGGATAGAACTGTTGAGAGTTAGTTACATGTTTAAGCTTGTTCTTTGGCTGGATACATTCCCCTCACTTGCCGCTGCTTGACTGTTGAGGTGTCTATTTCAATTTTCATCAGGTAATTGAATATTGGGAGGAGTAAGAAAGGCAAAGCTTCTAAAATTGATAAAGTGAAACTTTTGTTTTGACAATGCATTTATTGACATTCTGAAGATTTTAATAGAATTTAACAACTATTCTTTAGATTTTTTTTCATCTCATGCATTTCTTTGCCTAAAAGGAATGAGGATTTCCTTTTTCCCCCATTTTGTTATCTATCGTATACTGATGATAGTGTTCTGGATTTGTTGTTGGCAATATTGGTTTTTGTTATGTTTTCTCGTTCATATTCTGAGATATACTTTTTTTAGTGATTCCTATCTTTCCAACTTTGTTGCAGTGGTTCAGTTTGCGATACTTACAATAGCATCAATTTGGAAACTAGTGCTTGTTTCATTGTTTGTCATGTCATTATTAAAAATGCATTATGCACCTGATATTTACAGTTATGTGATTCAGGGGGGGGGAAGGAGTGTATAGAATTTTCTTACAAGGATTAAGAAAACTACAAGTAAGAACTGATATTGTGATTTAGCAGTCGTGGTGACTGGAGCGTTATTCCGTGTCGCTTTGCTTCTGATATTTCAGAGTGATGGTTAATGGTGATTTGTAGTGACAGTGAGAAACTCATTGGTATTGGATTACAGTAAACTGGTTTTTCAACTGTTCATCTGCACGTGATATGTTATATAATATTGTAGGTACTAAAGTATGCCGTACTGACGAAGTTGCTTGAGTGTTCAACATGTCACTGTAAATTTCATTAGTTGCTTCTGATTGGTGCCTGTTCTGCTCCAGCTAATATTTGCATTTTGAATGCTCTTCAACCCTTTTCTACAAGAATTCTCAAGCATGTCTAGTTCCTTCAACATTCTTGATTTGGACACCAATTGTAGTGCCGCCTGTTCATTTTGCCAAAGTTTCTGGTAAGGTGAATTTTCACGTCAGATATTTGTTTACCTTTCCCTTCAATGTCAGTCTTCACTGTTGTTACATGTTGAGAAATCCCCTTCTAGTTATTGTGTTTAAATTAACAAGCTTGGGATGGCAATTGCTTGAAAGTAATGTAGCAATAACACCCATAGAGAGTAGAATGGAGGATCAGATTTATTTTTCCTATATCTGTAACTTTTCTGAGTGCCTCTACGGGTCCAAAGTTACAAATATCTACTAATTCTGTTACTATTCAAATACAAACAAATGTTTCCGCTTTTAAAGGAGGGTTCAAATAGTTTTAGAGTGCTTTCCTTGAATACTCTTAAGAAAGTGGTAACATTATAATTTTCCCCTATATTTTTTTGGGCGAATAGGTAATTGAACACAAACTTGTATATTTCCTTGTAGTGAAATAATGAGTAACTGAGTAACTTCTCAATCTTAATTTCCACTGAACTACTCTTTGTAACTTTTTCCCCTAAGCCTTTTTTGGTACAAGCGGAGGAAACCTATAAATCATTCACAAGTATACTTGCAGTTTAGCTTATAATATGTGTGATTTGGGAAAAAAATGGTGGATCAGAAAGGTAGGGAGCGTGTTGAAATGCTATTTTCAATATACTAAAGTTTTTCCTTTGAATTAAAAATTTTGAATGATTAACCAAATGCATTGATGTTAGAAAGAATTAAGAAGTCATATTCTTTTCTCTCTAGTGACTAATTTGTTTTGCTTAAGTGATTGACTGACGGAAGAAAATTATTGTTGATAGGAGCATTACAATACAAGAATATCTATGGTAGTACAACTGACTAGGTTCATTTCTATCACATAATTTGAGCCTAAATAAGTGAACAATAACTGATTAAATGACATAAGACTTGTGGCAAGAAAAAAAAAGAGATAAGTAGATGGTGCTGATATCACAGATCTTGCTATGGCATATCTGTTGCCAGGTATAGCTATTTATGTCATTGGTCTAATTTAAATTTCTTCTGTCTTAGCTGTCAGAGAGTGAACCTGAACAACTTAGAGGATTTAACTGTTGGCAGTGAGTTTTTAATCTAGGTCAGAGCAATTGCCACACTCGAGTGGGTTTCTTTTCCTCTATCTGGAGATATGAGCTTAACTTCCCGAAGAGATAAATATGCTTCTTTCGTGTATTGCTGTAGGTAAATTTTACATTTCATATCAGAGAGAAAGCTTTAAGGTTCTGAATGTTTTAGGCCGCTCTAATACCTGTTTCTAACAGTGAAGACTATATCTAAAAGAAATGGATTTTGAAAATGTCAAGGGGAGAAATCGTTGCTCCAGTGCTTTGGCATATGATTGTAAGCTTAATGGAAACAGCGAAAAAGATACTATAGATCTTGTATGCAGAAGATAATTCCAAGAATTGAAGAGCATAAAACTTTTATACGTCTATTTAATAAGCTCATTGTATATAACTTGTACACCTGAATGCTTGAATGAGAAGTGCCACCCAGTTCATTCCTGGCTTTGAAATAATAACAAAAAAATATTCATAAAAGAACCAGCACTTTTTTGTTATTATCATATTTGTTTTGTTTGTTTCTAGCTTGAAATCTAGCATCCATATTCTTTCTTTTGTTGTTGTTGTGCACTGTTTGTGGATGCATCTAAGAAAATCTTTAAATTTGGTAACAGAAACCATGCTCAGTCTGAATTAATTGAATTGTGAAGTAAAAAAATTTAACTTGCTTGAGTTGCAGCTGTAATTGCTATTTCCTTTTCTTTTTAGTTCCCTTTCGGAGTTCCAGTATTAAGCCCGACACCTACTGATACTAGCAGATTATTTGAAAAACCCATCGTACTTAATGGAAATGTTCTGTTTTTCAGTTTCACAGTCTGAACCGAGCTTAGCTAGTAAAGGCACTTTTACACATAAGCTTCACGATCGTAATACAACCTTGGTAAACATTCTTGGTCATAAATATAGCAAAAGGTTTGAGACACCACCTTCTGCCTGCAATTTCCGTTGGTGAATATTCATGAGCTTGAAACTCCTTTAGCCATTCTTTCCACTTTCTGGATGGTATATTTCAGCTCCTGTTGAATATTTAATCTCGAAGGTGATAGTACAATGTCTTTCCAAATTGAACCGGCTTCACAAGCAGGGTTTGGATACTTGTAAAGTGCATATATCGAATCTGCTTCTTCATTCAGCCTGCCCACCTTCTTTAAGCAGCCAATCTCATCTGGATCAACTAGCAAAGTCTTGTCTCTGTCTTTCCATCCTATCAACTTCACAAACATTTTTATGTCAATGTTACATATTTGATTGCTGAGTAATTTTGCTGGCAAAACAAGTTTCTGCTTCTATTCCTGTGTATTGCGGCTATCTGACTGACAAGGCATTTTTTGTCTTCCTCCTACATTTTAGTTTTACGACTGTAATGCAGTAAACAAGGTTTAGCTGGAATTTTGCTTTATTTAGGTTAACTTTTAACTCAACTTAGTTGTCTTTGATCAATGAGTCAAAACCATTATCTCCACAATCTACCATCAGACAGTTGTTTAATCCTGAACAAGAAAATGCAAGTTTGCATGCCTAGAAAAAAAATCATATTTGTAGAAAACTACTTTAAAACAATGAGATGGCTATTGTGCATACTAATATGATTTATCCAATCAATAGCAGAGAGTTAAGCCTGCAGCCTGCTTATGGTGTTCCTGAGCAAGGGTTGATGGGCTTTAACAGAAAGCCAACTCTCCTCATCTAATTTAGAACTAGCCACTGAACTTCCTTATTGAAATGTCAAACAATGTACAAACAGCAGCACTTAATGAACTTATACCTACTTGAGTGATTAAAGATGGGTCCATTCTAATATAACCGGGCTCAGTTCCAGCTGTTCTGAGCCTAGGTTCCAGAGTTAAAATTCTTAAGGAAACTATGATGTTCCTTTCAGCTCTATGTCACCTGATTAAGTGCCCAAGGAAACTAGAGAAATTAAGATTGAAAATGAGGGATGGTGAATTCACCTTAGGTGGACCTTCCAAAGCATTTGTGCAATATAGCCTGGCGTTGTCAACCAGTTGGCAGTATGTTGGAAATGCATTTGCAAATCTCTTGTGGGATATCAATTGTGACTTCACCCTTACAGCTCGTCTACACATTATAGCTCTCCTGAAAATATTGAATTCCTTGATAAAATCAGTATCTCAGGTTAAAAGGAAAAGACTTCTTACTACGTAGTTGAAAAATGAAAGTGTAAGACAACCAACTTATTGTTTTTCCCACGTGTTCCATACCTTATGCCTCTAATAACCGCCAAATAGGCTTCACAGACAACTCCAACCAGCTCTATTCTATATGGCTTCCGCTTTTTCCCTCCTTCTTGCACTTGATCTTCTTCCTCAATTTGTTCCCAGTAGTTCTCAGTTACAGTCCCATCAGGTCCTTGCCTGTAACCAACACCCATACGATATCGGCGGCGATGGACACATCTGGCCATAGTTATTGTTTGCACAACAAATGGTAGCCAGGAGAGAGTTCCATCCATGATCACATCCCGCCCTTCATTGAGTGCTGTCACCAGAAGGGATGACGCTGCATCTGTAGATGATTGATGCACCTGTTTGGAATGATTGTTATTGGTTCATAAGTACCAATAAATCGTTACAAGAGTTTAATAAAAACCAAGTTCCAGTTTGTTGATACCATAAGTCGTACTGTTATCAAATTATTCATATGCCTGTATAAAGTAATTTTTGTTGCTTTGTGCATTTAAGGTGGTCTTGTTTGTTTGGGTTGTCATATTCCTATAAGTCTATGATGACTTAGCAGACAAAAGAAAATGCAAGATTTATAACCATAGAATGTAGAGATACTTATTCATGAATGGACCAGCTACTAAATGCAAAGTGATGTGGAAGGCAAACTCTTATAGGACCACACGTGGCAGTGGTAGGATATTACAGGATATGGGAATACTGGGATGACGTTAATTGGTTACAGATTGATGGAAGACACTCCAACCTCAGAGTGGCTCACAAAGCAATTACAGGGGACCCTTGCATTACGGGAGGCAGGAAAATTACCTGTATCAGATTTCATTCAGGTATGCATTGACTAGAATGTTGACATTTAATATTTTCTGTTTGCAGTGTCGCTCAACCGTTTATCTTCAGGCTTCATGGATTTTAGGCTTTAAGTTTGAGTCTAGTTAATTACTAAAGTGTATGCGCAAAAAACAGAAAAGCAAGCTAGTATTACTTCTAAAAATTGAGGAAGTTTATTATATGAGATGTTTGATCTCAAAATTTTGGCCTAAAATGCAACAAGCTTATGTGACAGAGATGCCATTCATAGGAACCAAGTGGGATGAATGAAATGGGAAATGAAATGAAAGTCTTGTGTGATTGCAAAATTCCAGTTATACATAAAATCAGTATAACTTATCCGACATACTGGGAGAAAACTTAGTTTGTTTCTATTGTATTGAGAAGCCAGTTTTAGTCATTAAGCCTATGCCACTGAATTCATTTCCAGATGTGAGTCAAAGTATCCTTAAATAGATCCATTCACCCAACTACCATGCCACTGTGTGAGACAAGAAGGCCAATAGACCTGAAATGATATCATATGACCGATAGAATTTCAGTTTGCTAAAGAAAGGACTAGGTGAACTACCAGTTCCAAAAGTGGACGAGGCTGATAAAGTGATTCTTACTAATTCAGCTGTATGGACCATGTCCGCATGACCTTTGGAGCTGAGGGCTCTGTAGATGACATCTGTTTCTTTGAAGGCATCTGCTTCAATCACAACTGCATTTCCTGCTGCTCCAGCCCAGAATGGTCTGCTCACATTTTATAAAAAACACTCGACATTAGTTAATGTAATTTCTCATATTTACTGCTAATTTCAAAGCAAATTATAAACATATACTTGACGGAAATAATAGTCCATCCATACAATGGTTACTTGGAGTGGGAACAAAAAGAAGTAATCGTCTGTGTATAAACTGATTTTTTACATTCTGTTATGAATATCAAGTTTTTTGTTACTTAGATACTTTGAATTTCAACATACAATGTCTAAAAGCTCTCTAAGAATCTAGGAAGAAAATCTCTTTAAATGAAACAGTGGTTAAGTTGAATCAGGTATTCGAGTCTGCGTAGGGGAGTACTTGTATATCTTATTTTGTTTTTGTTGTCCTTGTGCATTTTAATCCTACCTCCATCACTTATAACATTATTCAGTTGGTCTTACTCTTAATTCGTTTTTGGGTACAGGGCTTACTCTTTGAGAATGTCCTTAAGCACGGTGCTCTTCCCAGCTCCCATCCCTCCTCCCATGAGTAGCAGCACTGGACTTCTATCACTGTGAGCCACTGGAGCCATCACCTCTGTACATTGAGAGTCATCTGTTGACGTAAGCCCCATTGCTTTCATTTCTTCCACCAATGTAGTGAAAACTCTAGCCACCTTCAGATTTTTTGTCACCCTCTCAAATCTCTGTTCTCTATATTAGAAAAACAAGATTATTTTTTTCTAGAAACAAAATGTTCTTCCATAGAAATCAGTGCCAGTTGCAATGACAACAATGATAAGAGGCTATATCTTGTCTTGCTGCATGATTTGCTTGAATTTTTTAAATGTTAATCAGACTCGTGGCTCAAAACATGGAGAAATACAATCAACATATGGAAGCATAGTTTTGGTTAACAAGCCCCATTTGTTTTAACTTTCACTCTTGTTCAAGATTGAATGCAATTCTCTTGTTGGATGTATTCAACTATCTACCTCATTTCGATATTCCTGAATAATTATATTATGATCAGACAACAACAAATTCAACAATGAACAGAAAAAAAAGTAGGTTATGTAATAATGCCCAACCTAGTTGCTGCCATGAAAATCTGCTTGAGCTTTTTCTTGGGTTCAGCATCAGAACTTAATACCTGAAACAATGTGGCAAAAAAACAATTCATTTTCATCAATCATAAAATTCTAACATTTATACATTCCCCCAAGATATATTGATCTTGATTACCTGACAAATCATAAGATCTGCATGGCTCCAATGGAATGCAAAATAACTAAGAATGCATCTCTCAAACTCCTCCAGGAGCTTAACAAAGAGCGAATCCACATCGGGCTCATTGGAGAAGAATGTATAAATATCTTCTTCGCAACCTTCGGATTTCCTGATGTATTCTGCTGCTAACTTGCAGAGCAAAGGGCATTCTCTTCTATCTTTAAATCCCATCTGCCTAGCTGATGATGTAAAGGAAGATATGAAAAAAAAATGAGAGACAAAATTAAGGGCTTGAAGGATGTAATAGATATTAGGAGAAGACATGGGGATCATGTAATTTAATTACCTACGTAGTGAGGGAAGCGTTCGAGCTTTTCAATGCGGCCATGACCTTTGTCCCTTGATCTTAAGCGTGGGATGATCTTTTGATCCCTTAGCTTCCTGAGATGATACCGCAATGCTGCTGCAATGATGAAGCCAATCGAAGAGGCAACCATGACCTGTGTGAAAGTGGGTTTGCTGTTATAATCTGAAGAAACAACGGAAAAAAGGGCTTGTAAACGATTTGTGATTTGAAGCTTAGTACTTACCTCTCTGTATGTCTTAAAATTCCAAAAACTATAATTTAGATCTTCTTGGTCTGATGATAACCCCAATGCGAGAAACAAATTTGCCATTACTCCTGGCCTTGAAGCTGCATGCGCATGTTAATCGTTATATCTGTTTAGAGGCAGTGGTAATTAAAAGGCCATGGATCTTCATTGAGATCAAGATCCAGCACTGACACATGTAATAAGCTCATTTCTTGCTACACCTAAATGCATGGCAACACATCTCCCATACTCTTATTAACCCTTTTTTTTTGCTATTTATGCTAGCTAGGTAACTAAATCCATCAGCTTCAATAGAATTTTTGGGGTGTGGAAATGGAGGACAAAGAAAACATGTCAGCAAACATATTATCAAATGCAAACAAACTGTGAAAAAATTAACTTCATTAAACTTGTAGCTTCTTCATGAATAATAACGTAATTATTTTTAATTTTATTCTATTCTTTTATTTTATGAACGGCACTTGATTAAAAGATCAAGTAACATTTCGATTGAATAAAGATTTAATATTAAAATTAATATCACACAAACACGAAGTTTAATTAGTTATGTTTCTTATGAATTAAAAAAAAAAACTTATTTTCCTTGTTACATCAGTAATATTTTTGTTCCGTACTATCCTGCTCCCTACTCCTTTTTTTTTTTATAAAAAAAAAAAAATTTCTCTTTCCCAATGTTTTCCTTTTTTACTTTACTATTCTCTATAATTGTTCAAGTTAATTTTTTTTATTTTTTAAAATAGAAATAAATAAATTTCATTAATCATATTATCTGTTCAATTCAATTTGAATCAAGTTTTTGATAAAAATGTTCGTACTTTGACTTGTTCAAATTTGAAATACTATTAATTAATAATTAATAATTTATTTTAAATTTATAAATATATTTTAATATTTTAAAATATTTTCGAGTTATTGTCCAAATGGCCAATGTTAGTTAAAAATTTCAAAAGTCCAATCAAAACTAGTCCAAAGCAGCCCATGGCGCAGGGGACCCGAGAAAACACAGATCCGTGTCCATATCCACTTACATTTGAGTTGCGGTAATTACATAAGATCCGGCTGTTGCAATTCCCCGGGGGGGGTTTTTAATTCTTCACCGAACCTCCAAAACCCCTGAAATATGGACGCCAAAACGACGCTCCGCTTCGCTTCTGCCGCTAATGAAGCTGCTCTATCATCTTCTTGTTCGTCAAAATCTACTCCGATAGGTAAACTCTCATCTCTCTTTGATCCCCCTCAAAAACCCATTTTTTCTAAGAATCCCAAATCTTCAACCCCCAACAAAGAAACTGTTGCAAGCCTGGGCCCACTTTACAAATCTCTCAAATCAGGCGCCATTACTCCCAATGAAGCATTGCATTTGTTTGATAAAATGACCCAAATGACGCCCTTTCCTCCAATGTCATCATTTAATCTGTTGTTAGGTGCCCTTGTTAAGATTAAGCAATATAATCATGTGGTTCTGCTTTGCAAGAGATTGGATTCAATTGGGTTTTCACCTGATTTTATTACCCTGAATATTTTGCTTAATTCTTTATGTCATATGAGTCGAGTTAGTGATGGTTTCTCTGTTTTAGGTAGGCTTTTTAGGTGGGGTTATAGGCCAAATACTGTAACTTTTACATCTCTGGTTAAAGGGTTTTGTATTGAGTATAAGATTGGTGAAGCGACTAGGTTGTTTGGGAAAATGGTTGTATTTGGTTGTCGTCCTTGTGTTATTAGTTATGGAACTTTGATTAATGGTCTGTGTCGAATGGGGAGTACGAGTGTTGCACTTAGGTTATACGAGGAAATGGTTAGTGGAAACGGGGGTTGTAAGCCTAATGTTATTATTTATGGTAGTATTATTGATGGCCTATGTAAGGATGGTATGGTAGAAAGGGCGAGAAAACTTTTTTTGGAAATGAAGGGTAGAGGAATTTGTCCGGATGTGGTTGTTTATAGCTCTCTACTTTATGGTTTTTGTTGCGTAGGTAATTTGGAGGAGGCTAAAACTCTGTTTATGGAGATGTTGGATCAAGGTGTGCAGCCTAATGTAGTCACTTTCAATGTGTTAATAGATGCATTTTGCAAGATGGAGAAGTTGGAAGAAGCAAATCGTTTGTTGGATTTGATGATTCAGAGAGGAGTGGATCCTGATATAATCTCGTATAACACATTGATTGATGGGTATTGCATGGCCGGTAAGCTTGATATTGCAAGGGATCTGTTTGTTTCCTTGCAAAGTAAGGAGAATGGACAAGATGTTGTTAGCTACAATATAATGATCAATGGTTGTTGCAAAAAATGGAAGGTTAATGAAGCTATGAGGCTTTATAGGGAAATGATATGCAAGGGGATTGAGCCAACAGTTGCCACATATAACACCTTATTGGCTGGTCTTTTCCAGACAGGCAAGGTTGAAGAAGCAAGAAAACTGTTTTGTAAGGTGCAGCTTGATAACGTTAAACTCAATTCTAGCACCTATAATATCTTTGTGAATGGACTTTGCAAAAATGATTGTGTCTCAGAGGCACTGGAACTGTTTCATAAGTTAGAAAATTGCAAGTTTGAATTTAGCATTAAAATGTTCAACTCCCTTATTGATGGGCTGTGTAAAACAAGGAAGCTTGAAACTGCTTGGGAGATATTTTATGGATTGCCAAACAAAGGCCTGGAACCAACAGTTGTAACTTATTCTATCATGATCCATGCGCTGTGTAAAGAAGGGCAACTAGAAAAAGCGAATGATTTGTTAATAGAAATGGAGAAAAAGGGTTGTGCTCCAAATGTTGTCACGTTTAATACACTTATGCATGGTTTCTCCCAGAATAATGAGAACCAAAAATTGGTGGAACTTCTTCAGAAAATGGTGGAGAAAAAATTGTCACCTGATGCATCCACTGTCTCTGCAGTTGTAAATTTACTCTCAAAGGATGAAGAATATCTTGAAACTTTGAAATTGCTTCCAACTTTTCCTGTCCAAGGGCCAACTAAATGATACACTGAAACTTGGGTTGCATGCTTGAGTGTCGGTCAAAATTATTAAATGGACAACTTCCATAGAAGCTTAACACATTGAGTGGAGGTTTCGAAATGTGATGGCTTGCCCCCAAGTCCCAGTTTGTGCAAAACCATCTATAATGGAGATAAGGTTAGCCTCTTCAAAGGAGGGAAAAGATGGATTACAAATGCATAAATTTGTGGCTATCGTGCATATATGAGGCTCAACTTCTAGATGTTTGTAGAGAGACATGAGTGAGGTCATGAGCAGACATATTAAAGTTGAGGGTCTCTTGGACAAAAAGAAAGCTACGGCCTATAGTTACCTTCAGGTACAGTGACCTGAAATGCCAGTGCTCCAATTGTTATGGAAACTTCTTTCCCAACAGGAATAGATCTCAGATGTGCTCTGATCACCAAATGTCCTATACTTGTTTGTATTGTGAATGATGATAATGGCTTACACACATAATTGCATCACTTTTCATTTGAGTTTAAACTCGAAAGTATGAATATTGTCATGTTTTAGCACCAGCTCTTCAATGTTAATGTTCCATTTGGTTTATGCTTTCAAATCCGGGAGATTGCAAATGCAGTATGTGTATATGTCACAATATTTTTTGAAAGGGTATGTAGAAGTAATAGTTGGTTTAAACTATATTATTTTCGAAGTGGAAATAATGTGATTTTTGGTTGATAAACATTTAATATGACAGATGTGTGAATTCGTTCTAGGCTTCTAGTATAAATAGTGTAGTAAGAATCTCCTTTGTATTCTGGAGTGGGGACGAGGTTACTTGTTCAAAATTTTTTTTGATGACAGTTGCATGTTTGTGCAGTAGTTTTCAGTGAACTCAGGTGAGAAACTAATCTGTCTGAAAAGATGGTGAAATTTGTCCACGTACTTTGGAAATGACCTTTAGATGCAGTATATAAGCCCTGCACTGCAATCAATATTCACTTATCCCGGTTCAGGTTGAGATCATAAAAAGTTAAATAAAACGAAGTCTTGCCATTTGATATAGTTGTGAAGCTTAGGAGCTCTCCAGAAAAGCCATTGAACCTGAATGTCCAGGAGGCACGGATCTTCTGTCTCTGGCAAGGCTACGTCAGTTTTTGATAGACTGGTATGTGAACCTACTTACTGTGTGTGCCTGGATAATTGATAGATTGATCAAGGCTACAATAGATCTTGTGAATTTCTGTGATGCTTCGATAACTTTTCCGAAAGCAACACAATAAAAGCCTATCGTGTTTTGTAGAAAATCATGATCCTGTTCACAACTGAATCTATTTTAAGACATCCTACGTATGCTATTGATTTTGGTTGCTACTGCTATTCACTTTTTGATGATATAAGCAAACCCTGAGAGCTATTAAAAGGAGCACCATACCAATTGGCTTTGATTAGGTTGTCTCAGGTATATATCTATATATATATATATATATATGGTGTAGGACTAAAACAGGACGAGCATTTTTCCTACCAACCGTCTAAGCCATGCTTGCACTCATAATGCAGGACAGAAACCAAAAATCGAATGTTTGGGGAAATCAGCCTTGTTATCAAACAAGAAGGGGGGGGGTGGGGGTGGGGGTTGTTTTCTGTCGGCTGGGCTTAAAACACAAAACTGTTAGATAAATCCTACCTGCTAGGTTCCATATTTCATGTTTTTATCTCTCTTCAATGATTTTAAGCAGTGCTCAGCAATGGAGACTTAGCGACAATGGACGCTCTTACATGCTGTTACCCTGAAAGTCGCCTTGTCATAGCTAACCACCTTATTTGCATATCTGATAATTGCGCAAGTTGAGGCCTAAAACTATTAGTAATACTAATGCAGAATTTGGTCGATAAAAAATGAAAGAATAATGCAGCAAAATGTAATCTTGTAATAAAACTACTTCGATACCAAAATGTCGTAAAACTTCAATGAATGCGCTTTTGTCTTCGTAGTTCGTACATTCTTCTTGACAATGCAATGGGGGGAAAGTAGGGAGAACTATTATCACAGATTGGGATGGAGTTAGGGTACAAAAAGGGCTATGGGACAAAATCTTCAAAAGAATCTAAACTCTATAACCCTACTTTGCCTAGCTGCCTACATTTCTCCTCTGCATTACCCCACTCTCTCCAATGAAGTTTGAATCCAAATCATTTACAAACTTTTTGATAATCATTCACCATTTGTCCTGCTAATAATGACTACGATCTGTAGTTTGCAAATTTATCAAGTCATTAGATGCCATGCCGTCAGGGACCCACAGCTGTTGGGGACACCCCATGGCTGCTCTGAAACCCTGTCAAATTCAAAGCTTGTGCCTGTTGCCATCTGAATTTGGCTCATAATTAAGGCCTATGAGCTTTGGCCTCGGCTTAATAAAGTAGGTCTATATCTAACTATGTTTATTTTTCTGCACGCCCTCCATGATAGAGGGGGGTGAAGTATTGGGTCCTTACTTATTAATTTGTTCAACGTCTTGATCATGCAGTCGAATCATAAGTTTAACCTGGTTTAGGATTGGACATTCATTTTTAGATTCCTCTAGGCTTACTGGCTCGATCAATCTTTTCTTTTTTTTTTTTGAATTCGCAAATTATAACTGAATTTGCTATTGGCATATGAGTGATCATCAAGTTGATAATCAGATTCAGAAATATGTAAAAAAAAAGAAAAAAGGAAGAGGGATACTGTCTCTACAGGCTAACAGGACTGCTGTGTATGCTGGCAACCAATATATGCTATATATGAAGAAGGATATAGAAGTGAAGAGAATAATTATGTTGGCAAGAACAAGATAGCTAGTGGATATTTCTCTTAGGAGATTTCTTCTGTTAGCATCTTTTTACCAGGAAAACTTGAATGTCCATTTTCAACATAAATGATAAACTGTCCTTTTTGTAATCGATCGTACGGAGCTTTTTATGAATTATGATGTCTACCCTTGATCACCAACTTTTTGACAAGATCTTAAATTTCAGCATAAATTCTCACTCTCCCTCTCTGATCTCATGTTCTTGCTTTCATTGCGCAGCTGAGATTACATTCCCTGATCAATGAGGAATGCAGATCTAAGTGATGAAGGAGATCATATCATAGTTTTCACAGGATACACAGTTGCATAATCAATCATGCAGACCATGTGATTCTTTGTTAACTTGTACTGGAAACAGCTTAATTAGGGTCAGTCTAGTTTCCTTATAGCAACGTCTTGTGATAGTGATGCCCAACAAAATCTGTCTTTTGAATGGGATTTCATGTTTCTTGTTTGTATGCTTTTCCCAATGTCATTGGTGAGAAGTCAAAAAGTTATACAAATCATATGACAACCTTTTTTTTTTTTATTGCTTTAGGATGTAAGGAAGACTTTATCTAATCCAATTCACTCTGGAAATATTAGCCTGGTCATGTTGCTTTATATTACTAGGACATATATTTCTTGTTCTCTTTAGACTTGTCTAAAGACTTTGAGGATGTTACAGATTTTGCCACTCCTACAAATTACATCTGTGTGTTCACACGCATTTGTACCATTCCATAATAGGAAATTCAAATACCTTTTGTTACCGTTAGATTAAAACTAAATATGTGGCTGAGATTAAATATATATTACATTTGGCTTCTTTCTTTCTCTTATATACTGCTTTAATCAAATGCAGGTTCAGCAAATCATTTGATCCAAGTGGAAAACGTGAGAAAATTATCCTTTGCTCCATATTTATTTCCAAGATTTAATACAGATATGATACCTTTATTCATCCGTAAGTCACCGCAAAAATTGCAGATAATCTAAGCGCATGCAGGTTGGAAAATGAACTAGGAAACAACACTGATTCTTGAAAAGATGAAATACGATATGTTTTTAACTAGTTGAAGTAATTTAAACACGAACTGACAAAAGCGTGATGGTCAGAGTAAGAGTAAATTCAGGACATATTTCTTTTACATAGTTTAGTTCTGGTACCATTCTTTGAATCTCAACATGCTTCACACTAAGAAGACGACCGCAAATAGAAATCAAACTAGAGTGTTTTTTTTTCTGTTCACAATTCACAAATTGGACTTAAAAGCAGCAAGGATCAAATGTTACAAACATTTACAAATAGAACTTTGAAACAAAGAAACTTCCAAAAGGACATGCAATTTATTGAATGATATTGTTAGGACTTTGGAAAGCTATCTTTGTTTAAATTAATATTTCTTGCTTTTCATGGTTTAATAGAAAATAGAAATAAAACTATAGTTTTTTTTTTTTTGGTTGCTTTTCATAGTTTAATACTATATATGCTATATCTGTAGAAAATAGGTTAATATATGTTTCCAAGCTGCAAAATAATTGATTTGAATATCTATGAAAGCAGTAGATGTTCTTAAATCTTAATCAAACAGAGATCACCTGGTCATGGGGGCACCCCCAAACATAAAAAAAAAAATGATGAGCAGAAGAATTGATGACCTCTCATAGCAACTGCCAGAATTTGCAATATGGAATTCATACAGTGCTGCTGCAGTATATGCTACCTACTAAATGGTAATTAATGATGTGGCACATTAAATAGGGGTTTGTGAGTGATGAAGAACGATAACATGAAATAACTGCAAACCTAAATTAATTGCTATAAGATGACATGGTGCATATGGAGACATAAACTAAAATGAAGAACAATAACAAAATGAAAAAGGAGAAAAGATAGAGATTTTCATTGTTATAATTTTCAGTGCATGACTTTACAGCCCTAGCATGTTAAGGGGAAATAGCTCTTCTTTGATGTTATCACAACATAGAAAACACGTAAACAGACAAGGTCCAATGGTGGTTCCCCTCTTCCTTTTTTTTCACCTTGAAATCTTTGATCTCCAATCTCCATCTCCCGAAGTCCTATCAAATCTTACAAAGGAAGTACTTTGGTTCCAGTTTTTCAACCCTGTTTTCAACATGAGAATCCTAACTAACGAAAACATAATATCACTAACAAAAGTTTGATATTGTCTTCCATTGTATCTTTTACAAACTTCAATTACTACATGTTCTCTTCAATCGGCTCAAGGAGATGAACCTTCTGCAATTTTTTTTTTTTCCTTCTTAGTTCTGACAAACGCTCAAAGCTAAATAGCTGCAGCCATGGAACTACAGTTGCTGAACATATTGACAACTCCCGGCAGATCTGACCCACCTAGAATTTCGAGCTTCACATGTAAAACGGGCTCACATGGAAAAGTTTTGGGGTTTTTCATGTGGATTTGACCCACCAAAAGTTAATAAATCTGCCCCACCCGGTCGATAGAGCTTGGAATGAAACAAAGAAGAAGTTATGATGAATTCTAAAGGGAAATAATGGGGAGAATTTATAGTTCACTTTTAATCGTTTTCTCCATTACACACGTATACATAAAACTAAAGTGACAGCAACAAAGTTCTAGTAACTTTTATTCTTTGAAAGTCTCTGCAAGAAAAGTCCATATCGATCCACAAACACTCCAAATCCCAAAAACATAAACAAAAAACCAAAAAGATAGACGAAGACCGAGTTTTTGCAGTCAGATGTTCACATTGAGACGCAACTGTTTGCGACAAACATATTAAGGTATTAGGAAAATAAAAAAACCATGGAAATCAAGATATCGAATTCTACCTTTAAATTTACCTGTTTCAATTCCGGGGTTGCCAAATTCTGTCTAGTCTGATCCATTCCAACTCTACTTTCTGTTTGCATCAAATGAAGATATGCATATACTTTTGATCATTGAGACAGTGAAGCTGAAAATATATAGCGATTAAACCAAGTTGGGGGGAATGAAGCCTGGTCCGAAATCATTCAAA